ATGTCTCTTTAAAATGTCTATGTGTGCTAACTTTATAACTTTCTTTCCCCAAAAGGCTTGTCAAGAATCACTCCAGAAAGCGACGAGACACACATTAATCAAGGTGTGGCACTTGACCTACTTTTACCTCTTGTTTCGCCCTGTAATGCCTAGGCAGTTTATTGAGACTTTCTTAGGGGCTGTTTACATGGAGGGAGGAAGATCCTAGTACCAGGAAGATCGTAGAGGGCGGATCATCCTAGCGCCATATTTTTTCTGTATTCAGTTTACATGCAAAAGGCTGTACTTGTCCCTAGCACTAGGATCTTCATAGCTGAGAGGTAGGAAGATCCTAGCACTAGGAAGATCCTAGCACCATGTAAACTGCTTTCGTTAGTACAAACGCGACAAAAATGTCGGCCGGTCGTTCAGTGACTAATTACGGCTATAAAGGCCGACCATTTCGTTTGGAGTAATCCACGAGCAGATTATTGTGTTAATTCAGCTGAAAGGTAGTGATTTACGTCAGTAAAGACAGCAGAACGACCCAAATTGCATTTTTGATTTTGTCGTCCGTCATTTTTAATCCCTTCTCTAACCTTCTCTACTTGTACAACTCACGGGCCGAAATTTCTGCATGTAAACCCAACGTAAAGTTATTCCACCTTCTAGGGTCTTCCTTCCTCCATGTAAACAGCCCCTTAGTGTCATATGATTATCAATATTGCAGACTCGTTCTTGTTAACGTTTTTAGTGTCTGAGGCCACTATTCAAAGACTCTTTCTCAATTCACACCCAGTTAGAAAGACCGCTTTTTCAGTGTGGTAACGGTTGGACACAAAAACTCATAGCAGAATCAGTGGTTTTGTGATGAATAAAAAGCATAAGATTTTTTATCAGTTTTAAAGTTTAGAGGATTAGTTTAGGTAATAGCATGATTTGTACTGATATTTGGCATAAATACCACGAGTGATATTTCGAAATTGTTGTACGTAATTTCACGAGCCGTTAGGCGAGTGAAATTTGAGACAATTTTGAAATATCACGAGTGGTATTTGTGCCAAATATCACGTACAAATCATGCTATTATTTGTTTATACTACTACCTGCAAAATTTTTGTAATTTCACATGTAGGTATTTCAAATTACGCTGAAATACCACTGCTCTAAGCCAATCAAATTGCAGAAAATTCTCATGTAGTAGTATAAACTACTTGAAATTTTACCGATGAGTTGAAAGTACCGTCCAAAAATTCTAAGATGTCGTTGATTTCCACTTTTCTTTTTTATACTGAATCAATCCATTTGTTGTCTTCGTTTTCCACAATTCTAATTTAAACCACAGTACAGTTGTAAAGATTAACTTTCACCAAAATTAACCAGACTTTGACCGTATGATAAAAATTTGTTCGTAGAGACATTACAAAAAAAAAGCAACAGCACAAAGAAACGTTTTGTCATTTAACCGATACACTTTGGAAGCCTAAGAATACAACCATCATTTCGCGACCTCCCCCGCGAAATGCGACGTCTATTTTGCGGGGGAACCAGTAGTGGAGTCGCCAAATGTCGGCTGTTTTCTCAGGCTGTACACTTATCTGCTCTACGGTACGTCGTTAGACTACGAGTAGTCCCCATTTTTCCTCAGGGATAGTAGAGCGAGCGAAACGCGAGCGCGCGTGAAAATCACCCCACTCCGCGTGTCGCCTTTTCTCGCGTGGGGTGATTTACAGGTGCGCTCGCGTTTCGCTCGCTCTACTATCCCTGAGGAAAAATGGGGACTACTCGTAGTCTAATACATCGTTGATCGGATTATGAAACTCAAAGATACAAACCCGTCTAGTTTGGAATATTCGTTTTATGTTAACTCCGAATTGAATTTAATTGTATATTTACACGCACTTAAAATTGATCAGTATTAGTTATCTTGTTTTTATAAAAAAAAAAAAAATATTAAAATTTGTCAAAAACGGCTCAAATTAAATAATTTGCACTCTATATTTAAGATTCATTTCTCTGTAAAAATAACTAGTATAACGTTCCGTCGACCCATAGAAAAAAATTTTGATAATAATGCATTTCGTTTTGGCAATCTGCCTCGCTTGTTGACAACACTTTTGCCAGTTAGAATGCTGCATTTGCACCCTTCTAATTCATAAAGCAGACAACCGGCACAAATACAAACATCTGCTAAAATTGAAAGCTTTTCTTGGTAGCTTGTCATGCTTCTAATGAATCTCGAAATTAAACGATCAATAGCTCCAACTGCGAGTTCATTTACACTAACTAAAAGATTGATTTTATCAACCCGCAAAAAGAGCGGAAAAGCGTGAGGAAATCTGACACGTTGGAATCAATATTAATTATTTTTCAGTTTTTTTCCAAAACTCTTCCAACTGCCACGAATTAGACGAATTCAATCTCCTTCCGGTAAATCATTTAGGCTCAACCTGGATTAATTTTGCTACGGGAATATCAAAGCCACTGCAAGTCTTTTCTTTGCTTTCGGTCGAGGTTTCATCATCGGAGAAGCCGAGATTTTCCACTGGAATACCAAGATCTGAATTTGTGGAATTTTCGCATTGTAATGTTTCAAAGGCAAAGTTCTTGTGTTTATCTTTGAATTGCCGTGGTTTCTCTCCTTTGAAATTCTTTGTAGAAGCCCTTGTTTTTGAAAAACTCTTGTTTTCCCTTTGTTCAAGTTTTAGATTCATACTCAGTTCCTCTAGAGTGCTGTTGTTGTTGCTTTCGCACGCCGTGGCTGCGGCGTCTCGTTTTCGCGCTTCTCTTTGAACCCTTCTTCCGAGCAAATCTTTCTCGTAGCAATGGCTGTATGGCCCGCCAGGAACACAAACAGCTGAATCGATTTCCGTTCTCTCTGAAGAAAGTTCTCGCACTGCTAACTCGATCGCATGCATCCATCGATGTCTTTGTATATTTGTGTGGCATTTTAATAGCCATGCTCCTTCATCGGTGATCAGTTTAAATCTATGACTGTACGTTTTTCGTCTAACCGTAAAACATTTCGCGTCTGGGGTAAGTTCGATTTTGTCACAGTACTCGTGACAAATATCAGTCTGTTCATCGTAGAAGTATAGAACTGAATTTCTTAGAACGGCCCAATACTCTATCCATCTCTCTTTTTCTTCTTCTCTCTTCAGAAAGTCTTCGTGTAGAGGATTTTCCATCGAGCAAAATCCGAGCTTCTAGGGTGACAGTTAAAGAGGAATCCTCGAGTAGAAAACCATGTTTGCTTCACATTGTCGGCCTGTTAATTGAATGGAAGTTCTCCCATTGAGTAAACGAGAGCTCCTGACCACATACATTATTTATGATGTTTTGTCGAAAGTGCATCTATAATTAAGCCCTTACAAACCGCTCTTACCGGCATATTTTATATTTCTTTTGTGCATGTCTGGCGAAGCCGTAGGAATAGTTTCTCTTGGTATGAATATGGAATTTCTTTGGTGTTTTTGGAAGGTAGAAACGTTTTGGTGAGAGAATGTTACAAATCGAGATCTTCAGAATATCAAGAGCCCATCTGCTGCATGCATTGCAAGAATTGTACTTTTGTACGAAATATGTTTATTTCTTACAAACTAATTTACAAAAAAAAAAACACTAATAAAGCAAATTGGCAACAGCAAAGACAATTTGGCGTTAATTTTTGGCTTTAAACCAAAGTTTTATGTGGCAATTTTAACAAGTTAGGGACACAAACAAATATTGGGTTTATGAAAAGGCCTTGATTTGTTCGTTGCGCTATGTATACCACACAAAACTATACGAACCCTTTTTTACTTGTATTCTTCTCTGCTTTAATATAAAAACGATTTATATATTTTCCTATAAAAACAGTGTAAAAAAGTTAATCTGTTCCTACCTCAGGTAGCCTCACGCAGAGAGCAATAATCTCGTGTTCAGTTTTAACTGTGTTGAGCACAACCACGATATGCTCTGTCGGCTACCTTGCTTCCTTTCGCCAAAAACGAAAAAAATTGGCCTGTAATTTCGACAGGTGAAATCCGGCCTATTAAACCCCCGAGTAACAGCAAAAAATAAGTCGTCAAGTCTCAAATCACTGTAGGTACCAAAAGAATTAGAGCAGTGGTTGTTCGAACCACTTTAATAAAGAACAAAGAAAAGTGTAACAGATTTAAGGCTAACTCTATAACAACAACTTTCAGTTTCCATTCTAAATGTGCCTGTCCCCGGTATCAATTATATCGAAAACACTTAAAACTTCAAGTAACTGTCAAGTCTTCTATTTCTCCTTTCAAAAATGTATGCACACAATAGACCTCGTCACGGTTTTCGACGCCATTTTGACGAATAGGCAAACGCGTGAGAAATTACAATGTTTGTATGAGAATCTAATATCGAATAATTGCCGTAAAACGGCTGTTCTGTAAAAAATATGAATTCTAAACTGAAGCCTTACCCCTAAGGATTCTACTGAAAAAAAATTGAGAACGTTCCATGCGCTAGAAGACCTAAAACTACGTTTTTAAATTTTCTACATATTTGTCTGTAAGAAAGTCCCGGGAAACATTACAGACAAATGTATGGAAAATCTAAATCAAGCGTCTGAAGAAACTTAAGCACAGGTACGCCCCCCAAATTTTTTAGTACAATCCTTTGCTCTGTAGCTTTAGTTTACATTTTTTTTTTCAGAACAGCCGTTTTACGGAAATTATTCGAGATTAGATTCTCATACAAACACTGTAACTTCTCACACGTTTGCCTACTCGTCAAGATGGCGTCGCAAACCGTGACAAGGCCTATGCAATATTACTAGAAAACCCTTTTCACACTACAGTGGAGCCTCGATATAACGAACCTCTATATAACGAAGACTCGGTATAACGAACGATTTTCTTTACTCCAGTATCAGTAAAATATATGAATAGAACCTCGATATAACGAAACCTCGCGAACAAATTTTGCAAGTCCCTTGGCCCTTCGTTCTATATAGGTTCCATTGTAGTCAAATATAGCGCGAAAAATACAAACCCTTATATTTTCAACGGTCCCCTTCACTGTATTCCTCGATCGGCAGACCCATTCATTTCATATGAATCGCCTCATCTAATGACAACCATTTAATTTTAAAAAGCAAAATTTAGTTAAAGCTACGGAGCTTTCATGGTAAATGGGGTGCCTGGCTGCCAATCAATCCCAGTGACACTAAGAACCATCCAGGGTTATGATCAGAAAATGTCTGGACCCGCCTAGGCGCAAAAAAGAGTAAAGACTTCGTAGGATCATCTTAAGCGCATACCACGGGACAAAGTGGCTATTTTTGCTTGAGATTAGAGAAATTTTCGATTGAGTGTGGAAAATAAGTCTAGTGATGAATCATAATCGGATCTCAATGCATGTGGCCGTCGCTAAACGCGGGAAAGCATGCGTGAGAGTGAGTCATGATTGTTGTTTTCTTTACCTGATTGGCCGAGCAAATGGCGCTAGATTTATTTTAGCCAATGACAAGCCGCAGGAAAACAAAACCAGACCAGTTTTTCTCTCAGATCTCGTTTGCTCGAGTCCGGACAAATTTTTGAAAGGAAGAATTTTTAACCACTGCAACACGTTTACACGGAACCGTGCAAACTCTAATATAGAATTAGCAAGGGCTAAAAGCGAGGCTCTGGTTAATATACTTATAAACAAAAAAATAAAATCGTGTTATGCTAAACGGGTACAGTAGTGAGAATGGCATCAAAATCAATCGATCTAATCGGCAAAAAACCAAATTTGCACGTGCAGCACACTTTTTTGTACATTTCTTTGCCGTTGTTTTGCACGACTAAAACGTGAAACTTCCTCGTTACACATTGTTTTTATGGAGGAATTGTCGTATGTGCTCACCAAATATTTTGTTGCTTGTGTTGCTGTTTGCTTTTATTTTTTCACTGCAGCCGAGAGCCATTTATGGCTCTTGCTGCAGCTCATTTTCACCTTGCTGGCAGCTAGCATTTCTCACTTTCCCACCGCCTCTATGAAATTTTCTTGTTTTTCTTCCAGCGAAACTTGTCTTCTTTGCTTTCAATCACTCGCTCTAGCTCTTTCTCTGTTATCGGCGTGAGTGTNCAGTTTTTCTCTCAGATCTCGTTTGCTCGAGTCCGGACAAATTTTTGAAAGGAAGAATTTTTAACCACTGCAACACGTTTACACGGAACCGTGCAAACTCTAATATAGAATTAGCAAGGGCTAAAAGCGAGGCTCTGGTTAATATACTTATAAACAAAAAAATAAAATCGTGTTATGCTAAACGGGTACAGTAGTGAGAATGGCATCAAAATCAATCGATCTAATCGGCAAAAAACCAAATTTGCACGTGCAGCACACTTTTTTGTACATTTCTTTGCCGTTGTTTTGCACGACTAAAACGTGAAACTTCCTCGTTACACATTGTTTTTATGGAGGAATTGTCGTATGTGCTCACCAAATATTTTGTTGCTTGTGTTGCTGTTTGCTTTTATTTTTTCACTGCAGCCGAGAGCCATTTATGGCTCTTGCTGCAGCTCATTTTCACCTTGCTGGCAGCTAGCATTTCTCACTTTCCCACCGCCTCTATGAAATTTTCTTGTTTTTCTTCCAGCGAAACTTGTCTTCTTTGCTTTCAATCACTCGCTCTAGCTCTTTCTCTGTTATCGGCGTGAGTGTAAACATCAAAAATAACTTTGAAAAAGACTCGACTTTGTTGTTGTTTTTTCTCTCTAAAAGTCTGGGTGGCCATTTTATTTCCCGCCAAATAAAGCCTTGAGTTGCATTTGAGTTGCCATACCTGTCGATTGAGTTATCTCACATTGTGTGCCTGTGGTGTGGACGGACGGCGGTCGGGCGAGCGTGCGGTCGAGTGACTACCAAAATTTCTCGGATGCATAGGCAACCAAATTTTCTTACCCACGGTGCTCCGCCGCGCGCGTTTCGCGTGCGCGAGAGAGCTCCACTATTACAGATTGCAATACTGCTTGCCGTCGAAAAACTTGAACGGTTCCGCGGATCCGTGCAGGTTTTTGTTCGTTCAAAATTTCTCACGACCCGTGGAACAGGGTCTCATTTGAAAGCCTTTTAATCGTTTTCAGTGCTACTTAGAGCGACTTTCAGTAAATACGGAAAACAGTGACCTTAGTTGTTACCGGAGCGGAGGCAAATAGTACTCTAAAACGGAATTGTTTTAAGTAGATTCTATTGTATTGTGAAACCAAAATTCTTCAGAATTCCCAAGTAACGAATTTTTTTTTCCGAAACTCTTCAGTTTTAGGTAACACCGGCTCAAAGATACTTTTGGGTGATATCATCTCTGATGACGAGACTCTAAGGTTTATAACTCAAGACCCAAGAGGCCGCAACGCTATTAATTACCCCCACAGTCTGTGGCCTGCGAATACCGTGCCGTATATTATAGACAGTAGCATAGGTAAGTATTGTATACGTATTGTATTATACACATGTGCTGTTTCTCAAACTTAACCCAAACGATTTTCAGAAATTTTCAAGATTCTCTCAAGGAGTAAATTTTTGCGACTATTGAGGTTCGCGGAGAAGAGAGAACCTATTTTTAGAGATGACGGAGTGGGGGTGGTCTGAAATGTCGTCCTTTTCTTTGCCCCACCCGGCAACGGGAGTGAAACCAATTCAGACGACTCTGCTCTTTCGCCCTGCCGCCTGTTGGAGGAGGGGAGGGGGCGCTGGGGGGGGGGGGGGGGGCAAGAGGGAAGGGGAGAAGCAGACCTTGTGAAAGGGGCGGGGATTTTTTAAAAAAATTTGGTAAATTTTGTGGGGGAAAATTTATAATTTGTTTTTGTTTTTTTTTTTTTTTTTTTTTGTGTATAAAATATCAAAAAGGAATTATACCTACTATA